CAGCACTATAAACTCTGCATACTCCCATGCCAAGCCCAGACCATGGCCTGAAGAGGCAGCACATTATTTGGACCCAGCTCGCCCAATGCCTGTATAGATTGGGTGCTTTAGTGGGTTTTTTTGGTGCTTTTATCTAATAATTGATTGACTCTAATTGCTGCTTCTTCCAGTAAAGTGTGGGGGGGGTTGTTTGCTTTTTTTTGTTTTTTTTTTTTTAATGACTGCAAGCAGCTTTAGTTTCTCTAAAACAATGGTTTTCAATCTGTGGTCTGCAGACCCCTGGGACTCCACAGACTATGTCTAGGGGTCCACAGAAGATGACTATGACGATTAATCAAAAGTATGCAAATACTCACACTTACAATTCAAAGGAGTCCGCACCTCCATTTGAAATTTCCAAAAGGGTCCGCATCTCCATTCGAAATTTTTTAGGGTTCCACAAATGAAAAAAAAGGTTGAAAAACACTGCTCTAAAAGTTGCTCGCTGACCACAAGGCAAAGAAAAATGCATACTTGGCCCTTCATCCAACATCTTTATCTTCACTGATTTTCTTGTATCTTTTTCCAATCTTTTTTTCACTCAGTCCTTGCCAGTGTTGCTCTTCCTTTCACTTTTATGCTTTCCTGTTCCTAGCTTTTCCTTTCCTGTTTTTTTTCCAAACCCACACAGCCCTGCAGAGGCCTACACACATACTTAATTTTATTCAACCTAACTGACAACTTTTTCCACTGTGAATAGAGAACCAGTAAGTGCAAGCATACTTTGGCCCTTAGCTATTTTAGAATAGGGACTGAATAAGTATTCTATACACCTTCAACGTGATTTCAAGAAAAGGAGTCCAAGTATGGGAATCAATGCAGAGGGGGTTAGAGTTCCTTGAGTTCAGGTTCCTGACCTGAAACCCTCCTATGCTAATATGATCAGAAATGTTGGAATGGACATGTCTGTGAGACAGTCTAGGCAGAGGCCAGATCAAGTATACCAAGATGGCTCTTGACAGATCTTTCTCTAAGCTGTTCTTTAAAACCTCCAGTGACAGATATAGAATCTTGAGTAACCTATTTCCGTGCATATATTTTTAATTTTAAGGATATGTTTTCCTATGATCTAACCCAAGAGTGTCAAACATACAGCCTGCCAGCTGGATGCATCTCACAGAACCATTCCATTCTGCCTGCCAGTAGTTTGGTGGGCTACAGGAAGGTGGGGGTACTTGCTGCCTTCCTCCGGTCTTCTCTTTTCTTAACTAAAGATCCCCAATTCATTCAACCCTTCCTTACAGCTATTCTAAGATTCTTCTTCTTGCTTCTACCACTTGTCTTTATCTTTCTTAAAGTATGCTGCCTCAATTGCACTGGGTAAAGAGAAATAATTACCCCTTGTGTCGAGTTATCCTCATTCTGGGATATCTTTTATTTTATATTTTTAATTTATTTTTTAACAAGATCACAATGTTGACTCATTAGAATGTGACCCACTATAATCCTTTTGTCTAAAATTGCTGCCTAGCAAGTAATCCCCCATTTATACATTAGATTTCTCCTTCCTATTTTTATTGAATTTTGACTTACTAATTTCAGATTTTCTCTTCAATGCCTCAGGATCATTTTGAATTCTAATCCCATTCTCCTGAGTACCTGAAACCTCACAGTTTTGTATAATCCAAAAAAATTATAAATACACTCTCTACTCCATCATCTAAATTAATGAAATAGTAAATAAAACCCACCCCAAAACAGACTCATCAGACCCTACTTGAAAGTGAACTATAATTACCTCTTCCTCATTTTCCCAGATAGCATCCACCACATGGGCTACTTGCAGATGTTAAAAACCAAACCAAAAAAACCCACCACACTTTACCGGAAGTAGCAGCGCATTACTTCAACCCAGCTCTGCAGCATCTGTACAGATTGGGCACTTCAGCGGGCTTTTGGCACTTTTAGCTGAAGCTGAGTCAATCATCTATTAGATAAAACAGCCAAAAAAGCCCCACTGAAGTGCCCAATCTATACAGACATTGGGTGAGCCAGGTCCAACTAACATGCTGCCTCTACTGGACATACAGTGGGCTGGGCACAGGAGTGCACAGAGTTTAAAGTAAAGCATGGCTTTCTTTTAATCAATAACTTAAAATATATCACATCAGCTACTAGTCCCTTACCTAACAGGCCAGTTATCCAGTCAAGAAAACTGGACTCATTTAACATAACAAGTTCTCACCAATTTCACACTGATGATTTTAATTACTTCACTGTGTTCTAGAAACTAATGAACAGATTGATCAATCAATCATTGGTCAATTCAACTGACTTATCAAATCAATTGATTTATTGAACAATAATTGATCAGTCTTCCTGAGTTGTCTAAATAAGGCTGAGCTGTCTATAACCCTCTGGGTCTTCCCTTTCCCCACTTTTAAAGATATAGGTCCTCTGTTTGCCCTTTTCCAGTTCCCCAGGATTTCCCTCCTCAGCGTAAGTTTTCAAAACAGCCCCTGGCACGGATCTTTGAGAGCTCTTGGCACTCTGGTGAAGTGCCTGATGATTGGAAGAGGGCCAACGTCATACTTATCTTCAAGAAAGGGAGAAAAGTACAGCCGGCAAACTACAGGCCCATCAGCCTGATCTCTATCCTCGGGAAGGTCTTGGAAAAGATTATCAAGGAGGCCATCCTTAACAGACTAGTTGAAGGCAATATTCTGAGGGATACCCAGCATGGGTTTGTTGTGAGTAGGTCTTGCTTGACCAACCTCATTTCCTTTTATGACCAGGTGACGTATCACCTGGACAAGGGGGAAGAGATCAACGTTGTATACCTTGACTTTAAAAAAAAAGCCTTCGATCTGATATCCCACGATCACCTCTTGGCTAAACTGGCTAACTGTGGCCTTGATGTCACCACAGTCCACTGGCTGGGGACCTGGCTCCGTGGTAGGACCCAGAGGGTGGTGGTCGACAGGAGCAAGTCGTCTTAGTGCCCTGTGACCAGTGGGGTCCCATAAGGCTCTGTCCTAGGACCTATACTGTTTAACATCTTCATCAATGATGTGGACATTGGTGTCAGAAGCGGACTGGTCAAGTTCATCGATGACACCAAACTCTGGCATAAAGCATCCACACCTGAGGATAGGAGGGTGATCCAGGCAGATCTGGACAGACTCATGAAATGGACGGACGAGAACCTGATGGTGCTCAACACCAAAAAATGCAAGGTTCTCGACCTTGGGAGGAAAAACCTGCACCATGCTTATAGTGGTTAGCACTGCAAATGAAAGGGATTTGGGGGTCATGGTTCACTACAAGATGAACATGAGTCTTCAGTATGATGCTGCGGCTAGTAAAGCAAGCAAAATGCTGGCTTGCATCCATAGATGCTTCTCAAGCAGATCCTGGGACATCATTCGCGTGCTGTACTTGGCCTTGGTGAGCTCCCAGCTGGAGTACTGTGTCCAGTTTTGGGCTCCACAATTCAAAAAGGATGTGGAGAGGCTTGAGAGGGTGCAGAGGAGAGCCACGTGCATGATCAGAGGTCAGGAAAACAGACCTTATGATGAGAGGCTGAGAGCAATGGGGCTCTTTAGCCTGGAGAAACGCAGGCTCAGGGGTGATCTGGTGGCCACCTATAAGTTTATCAGGGGTGTTCAACAGGATCTGAGGGAACGTCTGTTCACCAGAGCGCCCCAAGGGATGACAAGATCGAATGGTCACAAACTCCACTGTGACCGATTCAGGCTAGACATAAGAAAGAACTTCTTCACTGTCCGAGCCCCCAGGGTTTGGAATAGACTGCTGCCAGAGGCGGTTCAAGCACCCACTTCGAACGCCTTCAAGACACATTTGGATGCTTATCTTGCTGGGATCCTATGATCCCTGCTGACTTCCTGCCCCTGGGGCAGGGTGCTGGACTTGATGATCCTCCGGGGTCCCTTCCAGCCCAAATGTCTATGAAATCTATGAAAAATAAATTGTTAACGATTCAGAGATTGCTTCAGCTAGTTCCTTAAGAACTCTAGAGTGAATTTCATTAGGCCCTGATGACTTAAATACATCAAACTTATCTAAAATATGCTTCAGCCTGTTATTTCCCTCTTCTGGCCTGCTCTCCTTGTCAAAATTAATTGTGTTAAGTATCTGGTCGCAATTTACCTCTTTTACAATGACTGAATAAAGGGCAGCACTGAATACTTCAGCCTTTGCTACATTATCCATTGTTTGTTCTTCTTTCCCCATTAACAGATCTATAACTTCCCCATCTTCCTCTTACTTCTAATTCTTTAAAAAAACCTTTTCTTGTCATCTTTTATGCCCATGATAGTTGTACCTCATTTTGCATCTTAGCCTTTTTTTTTTTTTTTTTAATTTTATTTCTGCATGCTTGTGACAAAGCATGAATTTAAGGGAACAAAATATGCCCTTGTTTCCACAAGAACTGCAGCTCCTTTAAAACCTCCGATGCAGCCATACTATGCTTCCTGTCTGTGCAGGTGATGGCCTGCCTAGCTTAATGAGTAGGGAGCACCTTCCTTTACTCTGGCGCTGGCCATTGCACAAGAGCTCAGAAGGTTGCGGATGGCTTTGCAGAATGTAAAGGTGAGGGTCACTAACCTCTTCCTTTCCCCTCCAACCCTACATGTGTGTGTATGCGTGCATATGCACACACACGATTTAGAAGGGAATGCTCCTCTTACAAATTGATTTAATTTCAAAATATTATGCAATATTTTATGAATCAAGCTTCACCTTAGAATGCATTTTTATTGCCTGGACGGTACTTGAGTCTGAGAAGGACACAAGAACATTAACTGGTGGTACTATACAAAAACATCACACATCTGCAACCCAACAACAGAATTCTCACTTAAGAGACAAGACTTCTGACAGTTTAAAAGCATACTAAGAAAAAGGCATACTAAAAAAAACTCCTCTAGTGAAAAAGCATTGTTTTTGTCAAGAAAAGCTCTAAGAAACTGCAACAGAAAGAAAATTGAGGGACTTACTTGTAAACAGGAAGCATTATAGGTAAAGGAGAGGACAGATGAGGAGCGATCTCAAGCAAATTGGCACGCTCATGAAGTGCCTCTTTTACCATCTTGTACTAAAAAAAAAAAACAAAACAAAACAAAAAACAAAAAAACACACAAAACTAATAATTCAGGATTTTTACCTTAACAAGTGCAAGGTGATAAAACAACTCTGCTAGTTAGTGCATAAACTACATACAGGAGCCTTTTGCTGTGGTAGTTTATTATACACTCTCTACTACTTTTTCAATATCGCAATGACATTATTTAAGGATTTGTTTTAGAACTTACCAAATAAGAAAATCAAAATTTTTAACTTTCAGGTACAGTGCAAGTTCTACCAGCAAGTTTACTTATTGCCACTGCATATGAGTTAAACTGCTAACTTTAAGTAGCACTCAAATGGTATGAAATGATTCCTACCTTTGAAAATATCTAAGTAATTGCTTCTTATCAGATCCATACAATTATATTCTCTATTGTTCACTGGGAGCAGCAAACACATAAGCAACAGAGTGAAATGTTTTTTAACATAAAGCAGTGATGTATAGAGCTGAATAGGGGATATTCAGTAAAATGTAATTCTACTGTATAATATTCAACCATGTTTGAGTATTTTTAGCAAGCATTCAGGGAAAAATTTCACAGGAAGAGGCAAGCTTTCGGGCTTTCACAAACGTTCAGTTTTGCCTCACTTTCCATCTCAGTGTATAGGTTAAAAATATATAACCATTCATTTCCCACTGTCACCTTCATAACAAATCCATTCCTATCAACAGGATAAAAAAAGAAATCCTTTGTACACTGAAATCATTCAGCCCCTCTTCTTTCCCCATACACTACACAACATACAAGTTACTGCATTCCCAAATGCCTGTAAATATAACCCAAACAAGAAAAAGCAGTGCATGTTTCCCCACTCTAGAAGAATTAACTGAGGAAACCATTTTGTATGCACAGTGCCTCTTTTATGGAACAAAAGAAAGTATTAGAAACCATAGAATGGGAATACATATTTAATTGGGAGGAAGAAAAAATAAAAAGTCTACTAGCAATTTTTGCTTAACAACGAGCATAAACAATTACCTGCTCAAAATCCAACTTCATGATGGCCTTCTGAAGATATCTCACTCCACCATGGATCAATTTAGTGCTCCTGCTGCTGGTCCCCGATGAGAAATCATCTCTTTCTACAAGGGCTGTTTTTAGTCCTGTGTAACCAGAAAACCAAATTAACTTCTTAAATTACACAATTTGTATGTAATTCATTAAAGACACTTCTCTAGGGTAGAGGCAATCACAAGAAAAATTACTCTGAACATGGATAAATTTGTATTCAAAGTGCAGCACGCTGTCTACATTGTAATGAAAAGATTCTACCCTCTTCCTAGGGGAAAAGTCAAAGCACAACTTAAACAGAAGCACATTAAAATCTGGACATATCACAACAGAAAGGCATTATAGTACATTACAGAGGCTATATTCTTATGAGTTAATTAAAGTTTGTAGTCATTGTAGGACCACATAATGTCTTATTAATAATACTAAACTCTATAGAAGTAAATCTCTCCAACTGCAACATTCACAAATTAATCATCACAATACCCTAACGAGGTAGGCAACTGTTATTACTTTGATCTTATAGGTGGAACAATTAAATAAGAAAGGTACCCAAAGCCAAAGGAGCAATCAGTCACAACCAAGATTACAAGATTTAAGGATTTTAGTACAGACTTTAAAAATTTAAGTCTATTCCCAAAGCAAAATCAGGAGACTTTCCACTGAAAATACTGAGTTTTTGGTTTGAGGAAGCTATGAAAGACAAGAGTAGGAAACTTTAATGAGGTTTTAGTCTCACTTAGCCTAACTCTTAGGCTAGGGACAGACATTCAAAAAGCCTGAGCCTGAGTTCTGTGCGCCCCATTTCAAGAGGGATGTGGACAACACGGAGAGGGTCCAGAGGAGGGCCACCCGCATGATCCGGGGACAACAGGGCAGACCCTACAGTGAGAGACTGCGGGACCTGAACCTATTCAGCCTCCACAAGAGAAGGCTGAGGGGGGACCTGGTGACCGTCTATAAACTCACTAGGGGGGACCAGAAGGGTTTGGGGGAGACGCTGTTTCCCCTAGCGCCCGCTGGCATAACAAGGAGTAATGGGCACAAGTTGATGGAGAGGAGGTATAGATTGGACATCCGCAAAAACTACTTCACAGTTAGGGCAGCTAGGAGCTGGAACCAACTTCCAAGGGAAGTGGTGCTGGCCCCTACCCTGGGGGTCTTTAAGAAGAGGCTGGATGCCTACCTGGCTGAAGTCATTTGAGTCCCGTTTCTTGTTTTGGGGTTTTGTTGTTCTCCCGCCCTGGCGGGGGGTTGGGCTAGAAGATCTACTAGGTCCCTTCTGACCCTAAATCTATGGATCTATGAATCTATGAATTGAACTCAATCCTTGTAGGTTAGTCTAACCTGACTAGGCTGAACCAATTTGTAATCGTACAGACATCCCCTTTGGACTGAGGAAATGCTGGCACGTGCCTACAGTGGCTCAGTCTAGAAGCTAGGGGGAGAGGAGTGTTAGAGCAGCCTCCCCTTCCTCTCCCCACCCCCCGGTCAGCATTGTGGAATGGAGGGAGTGGGCAGGCCCTGGCAGGACACTCTTATTAGGAGGGGTTCCCGCCCACCCTCCCTGCTCCTGACCAGCCCAGCAGGGAGTTGGTAACAGCATTTATCAGCCCATCAACAAAACAAGTCTCTCTCATTAGTTCAGGCTCTTTTTAAACTACTTTTTCCAAGAAAGGAATGAAGCTACCTGTTGATTCACTCCAAAAAGCCCTAAGCGGACACTGTCCTGTCTGCCCTACACAGACACGTCTCAGAATTAGCTAGCATACCACATTCTGGCTACAGTCTGTGCTATGCAAGAGGGGAGGAATCCCAGCTTGAGCAATCAGTGGGGTAGGGTGAGGGATGGGGCAGTCAGGCAGATGCTACTGTGCCTGCCAACACGGCTAGAGCTCCAGCTAGGGAGCAGAGGAGAGGAGCCAGCCCAGCTCTCTGGAGCAGAGAACCCCACCCAGGGCTACAATGCATCTGGGATGCTAGGGGACTCAGGTTTAAACTTAAACCAGGAAGAGGTCTGGGACAAACATTGCATAACTGATTTGGGTCAAACTGGTTTAAGTTTTATACTACATTCAACCAGGTTTATCTCAAACTGGGTTCAGCCATTTTCAAACTGTTTTTTGTGTACTGAATGCCTGTTCTGTTACATGTTTAAACTAGTTTCTGATCACTTAAACCAGTTTGTGTGTAATGTCTGTCCCTACACTGAGTATAAAGTTAAGAATGAATGTTTAGTATTGAAATTGTTGCTGGTTTAGGACCAACACACAGTACCTTCGGTATGTGATCTCATGCAATTTGTCTAATCCAAACATTCTATTCTGGGTTCAGAACTGCTGTTAAATCATAGACTAACTCCACCCCAGCTTTTTTTTGCTAATTAAAGAACAGCTGCAATACCCAGGTTCCAAAAGCCAAATTTAATCAAGTGATGTCTCAGCTATCTTCTCTCTTTCAACGATATATTTAATTATTACATCAGCATCATAACAACAGTAGTTATCATACTTTTATTGTTGCTACTGGTATTAGTAGTAGTAATAGGAATGCTATTACTATTGTAAGTACTGTTGTTAATAAATAATAAAGGATGGAAAACAGAGGACTCTTGCATTAACTGACATACTAGTTTTGCATGGGCCACATCAAGTGGATTAATTTCTCACATTAAAATTTGAGTCCATCATGGTTACTGAGGATGCAATTCAAATCTGTGCTGCAGTTTAAACCTAGTGCTTTGTATTCAGCTTTCCATGGTGAGGAACAATAGTTATTCTCTCTGCTTTATAGAAGCCTTCCTAATATTTAAAAAAATGGCTACCTTGTCACCCTTTAGTCTTCTTTTTGCCAAACTAAGCATGCCTAGGTCTCTCAATCTTTGTTCATACAGCTTGCTTTTGAACCCCTTTATTATCTTTGCCACTTGCCTCTGGACCCTCTCCAGTTTTTCCACGTTCTTCCTAAAATGCAGACCTCAGAATAATCCAGCTAAGGCCTAAACAGCTCTGAGTAGAATAGTACAGGGGTACTCAAACTCCAGCCCACCTCACTGTGTCATCTAGCCCACAGAGCTCCCCACAGGTCTGAAAATTTGGCAAAAGGGGAAAAGTGACATCGCTCCCTTCCTACCAAATCTCAAACCAGGCCCTGTGCACTGTATAAGGTGCCTGATCCCAGCATGCAGGGCCAGGCAGGGCAGCACTGGGTCCCAAGGCCCAATCCAGTTTTGGGGGGCAAGGTGGGGGTGCTGCCAGGCCCACAGGACCCAATCACAGTGTGTGTGGAGTGGGAAGAGGCAGCTGCAGTCCCCAGAACCAAATCCTGGTGCTAGGCAGTGCTAGGCCCCCAAGGACCCAAATCTGGCATGCAGGGGGCAGAAGGAGATGGCATCAGGCCCCTAGAATCCAATCCCCGAGCACAAGAAGTAGAAGGGGGCAGTGCTGGGTCCCTGAGCCCCAATCCTAGTGTACAGGGCAGGGAGGGGAGGATGCCAGGCCCCAGGGCCTGATGCAGACTGCAGATGGGCTCTGTGTCATTCATTTGGCCCACAGTCTTCCAAACTTATATTATAATTGGTGTCTTAATTGACAGCTGTGTTAAGCAACTACTAACTTAACTTTCTAGAAATTGTAAGCAGCTACAAGCAACTTAACCACTCTGTGGTTATTTCATACAGCTGTATGAATTTGGAAGGGATGGTGCTCACCTCAAGTGCATTTCAGTCAAGGTGGCAGCCTCTTATTCAAAACCTCCAGGAACAATATGCATACCTGAGATGGTTGCTTTCGTAGAAACCTGATATTTTTTCAGAGACCTGATATTTTTTCCTCATTTGAAATTAGGTAAGCAAGGCAGAAATAAAGGAGGAAACAGGTTCAATAAGATTCTAAGCAAAGCTGGGAACAGCAACTGTGCATGACCAGGGACAGAATAACTGATGCTAGCATTTGTCCCTGTACTCTGTTCTTTACCCTGCATCTCCTAAAAACATTACAGTGCTTCATAATACTGCTTGTAGAACAATGATATGCAAACCTTTTAACATCTATTAGTTTCCCCAAAACTTTGATGTCCTTAAAAATTATTACTGGTAACTTCAAAAGATCACAGTAATTTATTTTTGTCAAATGTGACTGAAGATTAATGGATACAATCAGGAATAATTTGGTAAAAACTTATCAAACAGAGAAAAAGCAAAATTTGTTGTTAAGTGAAGCATCAAACATAATAAAAGAGCAAATTCCATGAATGAACAGTAACAATACACAATTCATTAACCAAATGCTCATGATTATTTCACACTTCAGAAAGCTACTGATATGATCAAAATATGTAGTAAAATGATAAATATAGATAACCTGCAAGAATTCTTTGTACACTGAACATTACAAATACAATTTTTTCCAGAGGACCAACCTAACAAAGGCATAAACAACAATCTTTGATCTCACAGATTTACCAATTAACTTTACTGAACAGTAATTGTTATTTGAGTGGGATGGGCCATCCTCCTGTTCCTCCCAGAGAGTCGAGACCAAATTCATCTGCACCAAGTAGAAGGCAGTTTCCATGTTGGAGGAAAAGACTTAATGGTTAGAAACACAGGCATCCATGCTGTGTGCTGAGGGAAAAATGAAGACTTCTTTGATAGAAGCCATGAGAAGTTGGCATTAGACAGGCCAAAGGGAAAAGAGAAGTGGCAATATGTGACAACTAGAAGGAAGAAGAGGAACTGAAGAGGAAGAGACTGAAATCATCAACTGCTTTCAAACACTCTGCAGTGGAACAGCTTGGGAAAACACAGAAGTGCAGACATCAGCATGGGGGATCCAGAGGACCCAGAAGTCCAGAGAACAGGAAGTGCATGGTCCCAGGAATGGGGCCTTTAAGATTAGTGCACTGAGAAGGAAGAAGGAATTGGTTGTGGTAGGTACCTCCCTTCTGCAGGGAACAGAAAAAACAATTTCTTGTTCAGTTTGGGGTCCTGGAAGTGTGCCTGGAGTCTGAGCTCATCCATCCACCAGACCATTACCCTTCCCTGCTTCTCCACATAAGCACCAACAATACTGCAAAGAATGAAACCGAGCAG